GCGCAGACAGTCCGCCCAGTGTGCCTGACAGGAATTCTGCCCTCAGCATCCCTAGAACTCTTTGATTAATCGGGGCTGAGTCATCTTGGTCTCGGGAGAGCCCAGTCAGGAGATCAGAAGCCCTTAATAGGAAATACAATATAAATATATGGTAGAAAAAGAAATATGGATCCATATTCTTATGGTAATTAGGGAGAGGCTTGCAAAACTGCCAAGGTGTAGAACTGCAGTTAATAGCTCATCTTCTCTCCATCCCAGCTTACGAGGGGTGTGCATTCGGCTTTGCCAAATTGAAAAAATACCTGAAAAATACAGCGGGGCGCCAGGGGAAGCCCAGTCTCAGAGGAAAGGCAGGCTAGGAAGGGAGCGGGGCATTTAAACATGGCTCCCTCCTGAGTCTTCCCTTCTTCAGCTGCCCTGCTGCTTCCTCTGCTCAATTTCACTCCCCAGCTGATGGGGGGGAGTGAAACTGACTAGAGGTAGGGCACTGGGGAAGGAAAGGCTCCAGTGCCTTCATATTCTATGTGGGGACTTTCCCCATAGGGTATAATGGCCGAATATATTCGGCAGTACCGAATTTTCCCGAACCCCAATATCTTATCGATATTGGGATTCGAAAATATCGGTATATATTGATATTTTTCGGGCTTGGTTTACCCGAACCCGAAAAATACCGAATTTTTTTTGTGTGCACACCCTTAATATTAACTTCCCCATTCTGTTCATAATGTTAATAAAGGTGTGCTGCTATTAAATACATTCTAAGTTGCCAACCAGGGTGGATGAAAAGCATTTGAGACTGAAAAGTAAGCGGGGGAAGAAGAAAAAGTGAGAATAGACTTGCCTCTAGGGCCGTCGTACCCTTTGGGGGGGAATGTGGGATGGGGGCCACCCAACCTCAACAAAACCTAAAAGCAATGCTGTCAGGCAAGAAGAGCTTACCGATATGGTTTTTTTCATGCACCCACTTGCCTCTAGGGCCGTCGTACCCTTTGGGAGGGATGTGGGATGGGGGCCACCCAACCTTAACAAAACCTAAAAGTGATGCTGTCAGGCAAGAAGAGCTTACTGATATGGGTTTTTTTTCATGCACCCCTCTCTTTTTAACTGGTAGGTCAAGATGGATACCTGTGTTTGTCTGTCTGTAGCAGGAGATGAGTTATCTGAAGAAGCGAGCAGCGACTCATGAAAGCTCATATCCTGCCACAAATTTTGTCCATCTTTAAGGTGCTGCTGGAGTCTAGCTCTTTTTTAACTGGGCCATGATACATATTTTGCCTTCTGCCTCCCTCGCTCTGCCTTTCCCCCCTCGTCCTAATTTTTCACTTGCTTTTTGATCCGTGATGTGGCCATCCGCATGTTTTTCGACGTTGTGCTCTCCTTGCTTGCTTGATAGCCATCATCTGCAAAGGGCTTTTTCCTAATTTTTCACTTGCTTTTTGATCCGTGCTGTGGCCATCCGCACGTTTTTGGACGTTGTGCTGTCCTTGCTTGCTTGATAGCTGTCATCTGCAAAGGGCTTTTCCTGTGTGGGTAAGGCAATCTGTTTGCAGTTAATGATGACGCTGTTGACAGTAGCACAATGCCCAGCCATGTGGTCAGGCAGCACACTTTCACTGTCCTGAGCTGCTTTTTAAAAAATCAGTGTTATTGATTTGTGTGTGGTGGAAGTTGCTTATGACTTAGTTTTGGATTATCTTAATGTATAGAAACTGCCTTCAAGAGCCAGGTTGGCCAGCCGTGTTGGTCTGAAGCAGTAGAACTGTCATGCCTGCCCCTGCTGATGTCATGCCTGCCTTTGCTGATGCCCCTGAACAGGCTCCTGAGGACCCTGAACAGGCTCCTGAGGACAGTACTGCAGCAGAAAGGCAAAGACTGGATCCTGTAGCTGAAAGCTATCTAAGTGGTGAGGAGGATAGAGCCTCCCAGGGAACACCTGCAAGGGATCAGTCTCTGCTGCAGCCCAGTAATTCATCATCAGACTCGCCTCCACCTGTAACCAGGCTCAGGAATGTAAGAAGACAACAGCTGAGAGAGCGAAGGCAGAATGCACGCATGCGTGCCAGAAGATCTCTTAGCCCTGATTACTGACAGGATCCTGTCCTCACTCCTGGCTAGCTAATGAGTTGATTAGCTAGCACTGTATATATGCAAGTCTGTTGCCAGCAGTCATTTGTGCTGGCAACGTCGTTTGTTCAGGACCTGAATCCTTGCATCTCTGCTCCAGACCTTGTGGAATTCTTCTCGGCTTGATCCTCGGCTTTTGACCTTTGGCTTTGTTGACCCTGCGTTCATCTCTGACTCCTCTGGTATTGTTGTGATTTATGGACTTGAAACTTTGGTATGTCTGACCCTGCTTTTGGACTGTGATTTAAACCTGCTTGAACCTTGCTACCTGATTTGCCCGGCTTGACCTCGGACTGTTCCTGGACTTTTGCTTGCTTGTGTCACGCCCCCTGGTCCTGCCGTGACAGATTGCCAGCACCCACAACGCTCACACATCCCCACCATGGAAGACGGAGCAACCGGAGGTGTGGACCCCATGGAGGAAATGCTAGCACAGGTACAGCACTTAACTCAAGCTGTGATTGCTTTGCAACAACAGGCTGCTACAAATGCTGTTGCTGTAGCAAATGCTGGTACACCTCCCCCACGTTGCCCAATAAATCCTCCTGATCGTTTCGGTGGGAATGTTGATGAGTTCCAGGCATTCCTTGCCCAATGTAATCTGTATATTGAGCTCAGGGCTCGGGACTTTGTTTCTGAGAAGGCTAAAGTTTGTTTCATTTTAAGCCTCCTTAAAGGGCAAGCTGCCAAATGGGCCACGCCCTTGCTGGTGGGGAATTCTCCCTTACTATCTGACTTCCAGGCTTTCAAGGCTCATTTTGCCGCTGCTTGTTATAATTAATCCCATCTGGTAACATATTTAATAAATACACTTCCGGTTCTAACTTCAGATCTATTCCAGTTATTTCTACTATTACTATTACTACTATCCAGTTATTTCTACTATTATTTATACTATTACAATATAATAACTTAACAGTTTAAAATCAAACAACCCATTTAGAATACAACTCACATAAGATAGCGCAACTGTCTTAAAACATCCCCCAGAGGGAAAACAGCAGCTGGTGTCAGGCTCTTTAGGGCTTGAGTTCTTTCATATGGGCATAGATGTTAGGCCGGCGGCCAAGAGTGGATGGTAGGGTGTAGTCAGTTTGGTGTAGTGGTTAAGTGTGCGGACTCTAATCTGGGGGGACCAGGTTTGATTCCCCGCTCCTCCACTCGCACCTGCTGATGTGACCTTGGGTCAGTCACAAGCTCTGGCACAGATGTCCTCGAAAAAGAGCAGTTTGTGTCAGAGTTCTCTCAGCCCCACCCACCTCACAGGGTGTCTGTTGTGGGGGGGGGAAGGGAAAGGAGTTTGTAAGCCGCTCTGAGACTCAGAGTGAAGGGCGGGGTATAAATCCTATCTCCTCCTCCTCCTCTTCCTCTTCCTCTTCCTCTTCTTCTGATGGTAAATCATTTAGTGTGGCAGCTTGAACACTTGGCGGAAGAGCTCCGTCTTACAGGCCCCGTGGAATTTTAATAAAAATAAAACTTCGTTGGTCTTAAAGGTGCCACTGGACTCTAGATTTGTTCTGCCTTCAAGAGCATTGCACAGCAAGTAGCACCAACCTCCAGGTGAGGCCCGGCGGTCTCCTGGAATTACACGTGAGCTGCAGACTGCGCACGCCAGTTCCCCTGGGGCAGAGGGCAGACTCTGTGGCATCACGCCCCTGATGAACTCCCTCCTTTCCGCAGGGCCCACCCTCCCAATGCACCACTCCCAGATCTCCCCAGAAATTCTCTCAAGACATAGTTGCCAAGTATGCAAGTATGGCGTACACATGTTTTCTTAGATACATAAACGTCATTCTTTGAGCCTTAACTGAAAGAGGGTGAGAAGTGTAAAGAGTATGGTTGGTTTAGAGCACTAAGAACATAAGAAGAGTCCTGCTAGATCAGACTAATGAAGAGGAGGAGGAGGTGGTGGTGATGGTTGGATTTATATCTGGTTATGCAACTTCATTAGTATGCATGGGGAACATCACTTCTGCCACGCCCCCTTCATTAATTATTCATGGTGGTCCACTGGTGAAGAAGAAGAGATCAGATTTATACCCCGCCCTTCACTACCCAAGGGAGTCTCAGAGAGGCTTACAATCTCCTTTCCCTTCTCTTCCCCACAACAAACACCCTGTGAAGTAGGTGGGACTGACAGAGCTCTCCCAAGAACTGCCCTTGAGAGAATAGCTCTGAAAGAACTTCTGTCTGACCCAAGGTCACACCAGCAGCTGCATGTGGAGTGGAGGAGTGGGGAATCAAACTTGGTTCTCCCAGATTAGAGTCCGCGCTCCTAACCACTATACCAAACTGGCTGTCATCTAGTCCGGCATCCTGTCTCACACAGTGGACAACCAGTTCCTCTGGACAGCCAACAACAGGGCATAGAGTCTGAGGCCTTCCCCTGATGTTGCCTCCTGGCTTTGGGATTCAGGGGCTTAGTGCCTCTAAATGTGGAGGTTCCTTTCAGTCACCATGGCTAGTAGTTACTGGCAATGCTCCCATTAAGCCGTGGAGTCTTGTGAGCAAAAATATCACTTTGGGAGCTGCTGGTATTAAAGTTGTGAGCAAGCGATTTGGCTACTGCATAGATTAGTTTGCTCTGGAGCCACCCTTCCTGAGCTAAGACAAAAATGTGTGAGCCGGAGGCTAAGAAACTGTGAGCTAGGTCACACTAGCTCAGCTTAGAGGGAACACTGGTCACTGATAGACCTATCGTCCATGAATCTAATCCCCTTTTAAAACTGTTTATTCCTGTGGCCATCACTACATCCTCCGGCAGTGAATTCCATATTTTAATCGAGTGGGAGGGCAGGGGTTCTAAATGGTGAATGAGGGACATTGGCCGAAGCTATCCATCTGGTTTTTCCCCACCCTCTTTTTTTTCCTAGCCTCATCACGGACCTGGACATCACCTGTTTCACTTACCATGGGTTTGGCAAGGAATTTCTCAAGCGCTTTGGGTTGAGCCCAGACTCTGTCCTGCAGGTGGCACTCCAGCTGGCCTATTACAGGTGAGACGACCGCCTAGGCCGGAATGCACAAGGTTGGCTTTGGGGGGATGAATGTGGAGCATGAGACCCAGGTTCTTTGAAAGGGGGGGGGGAGAGAAAGCCAGATGTTCCCAATTGACAGTGTGGTTCTATATAGGAGCCGTGCCCTCCTGAGTTCATTGAAGTGAATGGGTTGGATCCAAACTAACTTGGCTGTTTGTACCAATCCCCCCCCTCCCTGCTGCAAACCCACCCCATCCCCCAGAATCAGCATTTCATGGAGATCAGTGGGACGAAAGCATGAAAGTGCCATTCCACCAGTGGAAAACACCAAGGCGCACAGAACGCTGTTACCCCGTGTTAACCCGTGGTCATAGAGGTGTGGAATTACACTTAGGTGTGTACTATAATTAAGGCTGAAAAGGAAGTTATGATTTCAAATATGTGCTAGATGAGGGGTCCCCAACGTGGTGCCTCCTGACACCTCTCATGACACCGGCCAAGTGTCTTTAGAAAGTAGATGGGTCCAGGTGGGGCTTTTCCCTAGCAGGTCTTTTGATTAGTCACTGGAGGCCTGATTGGCTGGGCGGGTTTTTAAAAAGTTGCTTCAGCAACAGCTGCCACCACGAGGCAGGGATCTTCACTGTGGTAATTGTGGTACAGTGTGTGTTTTTGAGAGAAGATTTTTAAACAATGTGTTCATTTAAAAGGCCTCCCATTAAACAAAGCTTCTCCCTGAAGTGCTGAAGAGTTTCTGTTAAATTTATGCAGACCCTCTCTCCCTGACATTTGGTGGTTGGCTCTGCCTCCAGAGGCATCCATTTTGTGGCTGAGCCCACCACCCCGTCTCTTATGTTCTTATGTTCTTTAACCCAGAAAGGTTGGTGACCCCTGTTCTAGACCACTTGGTAGTATATGTAACATTAGTGGAACCCAAAAGTAGTCTTTGGAGATGCAGAGTTTTCATAACAGTGGCTAAGAATTCACTCTCACTCAGTTCCCATGTCCACATACAAATGTGACATGCTGTCTCCAGCTGACCTGAATTGCTACAGATTATGTATCTGTGGCCTTTTGCCATCCTAGACGGTAACCTTGGATGCTCTGTTTCTCCTTATTCCCTGTTCCCCCTGCCCACTAGCATGTGTCTTTGATGTGCCGCTTCCTTCCCCCACCCTACCAGCTGAGGATTATCCATGGTGCTTTTCCAATTCTCCAGGTCCTTTAAAACTTACCATAAATGATAAATGTAATAACAGAATGCCTGTAAGCTCATAAACGTCTTCTATGGGGAAAGTGGGCTTCCAGTTTCTTTCATGGTGGGACCCACACTCTTTGGCAGAGTGATTGATGGGACGTAAGATATGGAAGGCTGAGAAACACTGTACTAGACCTCATGGGGGAGGGGTGCGTGCACATGTGTGTGATGGGGGTGTTAATCCTTGTCTGCCGTGCCTTCCTGTCTTCCTCAGAGCACATGGGGAACTGTGTGCCACTGCTGAGTCAGCCTCACTCCGTCGCTTCCACCGTGGCCGGACGGAGACCATCCGCTCCACTACCTCCACTGCCCTGGCCTTCGTCCAGGCCATGGCTGATGAGAACCGTCAGGTACTCCGCTTCCACCACCCCCCCATGATCCCTTGCGCTCCTGTCCAAATTAGATACCAAAGTACAGCCCCAAGGGGGAGCTGTGGTAATGATGAACATTAATAGGATGTTAGCCCAGAAATCATCATGCCTTGGGGCAACTCTGGAATTCCAGTTTTCTGTGACTCTTTCTTCCCACCCACTTTCCTTCTAAAATGGACCTGCAGCATCCATTTGGATGTTAGAACTGTCGAGTCTCTGGCAGGGAGGGCGGAGTATAAATCAAATGAATAAATAAATAAATTCTCTTCTTGTCAGAATTTTCGTTCTGGTGTGGCTTGGTCCTCAGGGCCTTGTAGGCCTTCTCATATGGGTCCTTCTCTGTTGTGAGGGGAATTTCCTCCCCCCATCAATTTGTCTAGTGCCAGGCCACCTTGAGCGCTCAGTGTCAGGCAAAGCTTTTCCCCCTCAAGCATTTTCTATAGTTGCCCGAGGGCTGTGTCCCCCCCCCCATCCATCCCCCCAACACATTTATTTTTGAACATTTATATCCTGTTTTCTTCCACACGGGGACCCAAAGCAGCTTAGAACATGGTTTGCCAGTTTGGTGTAGTGGTTAGGAACACGGACTCTAATCTGGGAGAACCGGGTTTGATTCCCCACTCCTCCACATGCAGCTGCTGGTGTGACCCTGGGTCAGTCACAAGTTCTTTCAGAGCTGTTCTCTCAAAGGCAGTTCTCGAGAGAGCTGTCTCAGCCCCACCTACCTCACAGGGTGTCTGTTGTGGGGATGGGAAGGGGAGGGGATTGTAAACTGCTCTGAGACTCCTTCGGGTAGTGAAAGGCGGGGTATAAATCCAGTCTTGTCCTCCTCATCCTTCTTCCTCTTCCTCTCTTTTTATCCTCACAATAGTCCTATGAGGTACATTAGGCTAAGAGTCAGTAAGTGGCCCAAAATCATTTAGTGAATATCCATGGCAGAAAGTGGGTATTGAAACCTGGGGTCTCCCAGACCTCAGTCCCATCGCTTGATCCACTTCACCATTTTGGCTTTCCTCCCTTAGGTTGCATCCACAAGCCAGATTACACTATTCTGGGACTGTAGCAATCATTTGCAAGTGAATTTTCCTGGTATGGACTAGATAATCCAGTGGTAAATAGTTGCTGTAGTGTGATATCCCAATAATGAGTGGATGCAACCTGTGTTCGGTTTTAGGGTGGGTTCCTGAATTGTTCCGCTGGTGTTAGTGGGTCTGTTGTGGTTTTTAATTGTTCTTTTGATTATAGTCATTTGTAAGATCTGGGAAGCTAAGAGGTGTTTTGCAGGTAAATAAATACCGCTGTGATATGTTTCCTACTTCTTTCCGTGCCAGGCCTCCGAGAAACTATCTTTGCTGCAAGAAGCAGTCAAGGTCCACAGCACCCTCACAGAGCAGGTAAATGCCTCTTGTTATGCATGCACTCCAAGGGTATAAAGACCTGACATGGTGGAAGGTGTCACCTGGGCCGGTGTCCTGGTGCAGAAACCAAATGGGAATCTCCTGACTTAAGCACCTTGACAAAATTCAAAATGGGACAAGGAGGTGGGATTTCCCCCCCAAAGAAACACAGAACATTCCATCCTGTTGTTGAGGAGGAATGTCCACAAGATAAGTTTGAGGGTTAGCCACATGAAAACGAAGAAAAAATTCTGGGCTTCAGGCCTGAAGGAATTGTAACAAATAATTATGCATATTCAAAACCTGTGGAATATGGAGAGGGTTTTTCTGGTTGTGGAAAAAGAAAACAATAGCGACACCTAGTGACAGAGCCAAAGCATTTCATCAACAAGTGTAGTGGTGAGGGCAGCCACAGGGAGTCTGTCCCTGTATTGAGAGGAAACTCATTTAAAACAGAAGCCAATGTGCGCTCACAAACTTGGGGTATGTCAAATCAGTCATACATAGTCTCTGTGCTAAGTCAACCTTTATTTCTGGCTGTATCTGGGATATTGGGGATTTTTGAAGGGGTGCCTCTGAGGACGTATAAATTCCCATTTGTTTCATCTATCTTATTTATTTATTTAGGCTCTGGATGGTCAAGGCATCGACCGCCATTTGCTGGGGCTGAAGCTGGAGGCCATTGCTGATGGCTTCCGTGTACCAGAACTGTTTATGGACACTTCCTACGCTGTTGCCTCTTATTGGAAACTCTCTACAGGACAGGTACCAGCTGCCAGATGTCCTTGTTATCCCCATCCCATTGGGGAGTTCTTCCCTTAGTTGATGGAATGTGGGAAACTCTATGGCTTCTCATTCCACTTTCATGGGCCCATGGAGATGACTTTTCTGTTTGTATGGTACAGGAGCAGGCTTAGTGGCTTATGGTACTTTATTTATTGTGTTTTTAACATTCTATTGCATTGTAAGCCTCTTCAAGAACCATTTGTTGGAAAGGATACATATTTACTTCCACTTGAGTTTTAGCTTTACAGTCCTCTCTTAACCAAGTACATAAAGAACTTCGTTTTAGCTTTACAGTCCTCTCTTAACCATAAAGAACTTAAAGAACTTAAGTAACTATGGCTGCAGTCCCAAAAACACTTTCCTGAAGGTAATTCCCATTGACTATAATGGGACTTACTAAGCAACTGTATTGCTTTTGGTGATTAGCACTGAACTGATGGGCAGTAGGTTCAGGGTGGACAAAAGGAAATACTACTTTACACAGGGAGTGATTAAAATGTGGAATTCGCTGCCAGAGGACGCAGTAATGGCCACAAGCATAGACAGCTTTAAAAGGGGATTAGATAGCTTCATGGAGGATAAGTCTGTCAATGGTTACTAGCCGTGGTAACTGAGAGGAACCTCCACATTCAGAGGCATTAAACCTCTGAATCCCAGAGCCAGGAGGCAATATCAGGGGAAAGCCTCTACCTCTATGCTCCATTGTTGGCTCTCCAGAGGAACTGGTTGACCACTGTGTGAAGACAGGATACTGAACTAGATGGACCAGTGGTCTGATCCAGCGGGGCTTTTCTTATGTTCTTAATAGGCTTTAGCCCTACATATTCTCTTGTCTTCTGTAAACTGCCCAGAAGGTGTAGTTTTTCCTAAATGGCTTGGCCAGAGCAGATCTTGAGAAAGCAAACTGAGAGGATCATATGACAAACTTCTTAAGATTTTCTGGAAAGGCCTTGAACCATATTATCTTGAATGAGACTAGAATTGCCAGGGCAGGACATTTTCAGTGGTGGCACTCTGATTGTGGAATGCTGTTCCCAAGAAGGTCTGCCTAGCATTATCTTCGAGGTTATGCTATTTCACTAGCTCATTAAATCTGCTTTACAAGATATATACAGTGTTGTTGTTTCTGATGTCTTATTAATTGCACGATGTCACATGTTCTCTGTGTGTGTGTTTTTGTGATGTATCGCATGCCAGTGTCTGAGTGGCTTTTTGTAGAACTTCACGCTTGAGGGGGAAGTAGACTTATACTTTTTCAGGTGTGTGGTCACAGAGTGCTGATCCTCATCTCCTTCTCCCCTCAGGTAGCTGCCCGCACAGACTGTGTGATGTGTTATGGACCACTGGTACCCGATGGCTACGCTGCCTGCTACAACCCTCTGCCTGCCCATGTTAACTTTGCTGTCACCGCCTTCAATTGTTGCCAGGAGACCAATGCTGAGCATCTAGCCGGAAGCCTCCAGAGGGCGCTGGATGATGTGGGGGCCTTGCTTGGGATTTGTAAAGATGGTGGATCATGAATGTCTTTCTAGAGACACACTCCATTCCTCTGTTCTCTCTCCCTAGATCGAACCTGACTTTGGCTTACAGGGAACTGTCTGGCTTGTGTCGGCACTTCACCCATAATTCCTTGGGCCCAGAATCTTTGCACTGCCTTCCTTTCATGCCAAAGCTCATTATGCAGGTGTCTGTCAATATTTCCTAACCTTACCCATAACGCCCTTTGTAACCCACCAGGGGACCTAGGGTGCAGCAGGTGTTGGTGAGGTGTTTTTACACACTGTCTTAATTCAGAGTCCAGTCTAATTTATTTCCAGGGGGAATAAAGAAAAAGATTCTTTCAGAAAATGTCTTGATTTTTATGTTTTTTTGGGGGGTGAATGGAAAGAAGCAAGGCAGGGAACACAATCCGACCTGGAGATCTCAGGTTTGCAGAGCCGCAGGACAACCCTAGGCAAGGCCCAATCTCTCTGTTTCTGTTCGCTTCTCTGTAAAATGAGCGCTGTACCTCACAGGGTTCTTGAAAGAAAATCTGCGAGAAAAGGAGGTAATACCACATGATATAAAAAAGTTCTTCAGCCCTAGAGAGACATTTGGTCAACACGGAGGGTGGGTCAACCACAACGAAGCTCAGGACGGGTAGGTAGGAAGAGGGGAAGAATGTTCTAGAACAGAGTAATTTAGTTGGTGGGTGAGCAGTCTTCAGCTTTTACTCTGAATCCCCCAAATATGAGGAGATTCCTGAAATACCAAAATGGCTTGTGCTAACGGAGGTCTTAATCTGAACAGGAGTCCCCAACGTGGGGCTATAGGCACCGCAGGCTTCCCAAGTACTTACTGTGATTCGGCGGGGGACACAGACGTCTTCGCAGGATCATTCCCGCGGGGACAACAGATGCGCCGCACCATGCTGTCACCAGGAAATGACGCCGGGCGACGCTCTGGAAATGGGGCTGGAAACTCGATGGTAGCATCGAGTCTTCAGCCCCATTGCCAGAGCGTCGCCCAGCGTCACTTCCTGGCGATGGCATGGTGTGTTACAAGGAGGAATGGTCCAGCCGGGGAGCGTGTTTTCCCCGCCGGATCGCGGTAAGTACTTGGGAACCCTCAGGCACCGTGAAGCTCGTCGAATGTTTTTAGAAAGTGGGTGGGGCTTTTAGACAGCAGGGCTTCTAATCGGCCATTGGAGATCTGATTGGCTGTGCCGATTAAAAAGACTAAACGTTGCTTGGGCAGCAGCTGCCACCACAGCACAAGGAACTTGGCTGCATGACCGAAGGTAAGCTGGGTTGTATATGCAAAGAAGTATTTCTGGACAACATGATTTGAGTGTAGTAGCACCCCGGAGACCAGAAAGGTCTCCGCTTTCAAGAGTCAAAGGTACAAGCTGTCCAGAATCCTTTGTCAGATATCTGACGAAGGGGATATCTGCATCTGATGAAGGGAACACTGGCTCTCAGGAGTTTATACCCTGAACATCTTGTTGGTCTCTTGAGGTGCTACTGGATTCAGATCTAGCTGTTCTGCTGCAGACCGACATGGATACTCTCTGAAACTTCTAAACAGCACGTTAATTTTAACAGGTATCCCGTTAAGCAGAGCTTCTTTCTGGAATGCTGACTTACTATTAGTTATGCATCATCTCCCTGACATATTGAGGTTGCCTCTCCCTCCTGCGGCAGCCATTTTGTGGTTGCGCCCACCAACCCTGTGTCAGAATTCCAAAAGAATTCTGAAATGAGTATTTTGCATGAATTTTCTATCTGCATGGTGAAATTTAGCTGCGGTGTAGCCTATTTCGTCATCAATATGTCTAATTCTATACATGGCCAAATATGTGGATACTTAAATCTGAAGACTGGCACCATGAGCATCTTTATACAAACCTGAAAAACATCCCAGTCATGCAGAAAAATCTGAAACCTAAAAAATAAAATAATACAGTGGAGGTTTTAAAAAGCCCAGTAATAGAAGCGTACCGCTCCAAGAAACAAATGCCCTCAGTGGTTATTGCTAGGCTATAACAACAGTATTGCCAGCCTTCAAGCCTTGGTTTCTGTCAGTAAAAAGCAGGGAGAAGGGCAGGGTCGTTTTCAGGGCTGTTTTCACCTGCAAGGGAGGGCTTACAAGGGTCAGGCCCAGCAGCAACCTTTGGGTGACTTGGTTGTGGAAAACACAACCTGCATGATTTCCCCAGGCCCAGCTGCTACTACTATTCAACAACAGGCACCCCATGAATGCCAGTGTGGTGTAGTAGTTAAGAGTTCCATACTAGAATCTAGAAGACCCAGGTTCGAATCCCTAGTCTGCTGTGGAAACTGATTGGGTGACCCTAGGCTAGTTACACAGTTTCCAAACTAGAATCTAGAAGACCCAGGTTCAAATCCCTAGTCTGCTGTGGAAGCTGATTGGGTGACCTTAGGCTAGTTACACATTCTCACCCTAGCCTATCTCACAGGCTGAAGTGAGAATAAGGGGAAGGAGAGGAGAATGATGTAAGCTGCTTTGGATTCCCTTCCCATTGTGGAGAAAGGCAGGGTATAAATTAAGTAAATGAATAACATAGCTGAAGATGGGAGGAGGTTGGTGGGTGGGCGGAAAGGAGAGGAGGAAGCAGCAGGGGAAGATGACGGGGATGGCCAGGAGGAGGGAAAGGAAAGAGGAAATAGTGTGGTGAAAGGGATACAGGAAAATGAAGTGCTTCTTGCAAGTCCTTGTGGACCTGGCCCAGTGGCTGACACCACCCAACTGAGCCACAGTTTTCCCAGGTAGAGGCTGAAAACAAGGGGGAAGATAAAGATAGGCTGGCTGGTAAGTGGGAAGGGGAGAAGGAAGCAGGAAAAGGGGAGAGGCTATGGTGGCTTTCAGGGAAGGGAAAGAAAAAATAGTGGGAGAGCAGAAAATTAGATACACCCACAACTTCTTTTGAGGCCCCCTCTTGTTTTGTCTATATTGACTTGGTGACAGTATTTGGCATGGGTATGGATTGGATCCGGTATGGGGATTGTGAAAGGACTGTGGATCTCTTCTGTTTCCTGGGGATGAAAAGGACTACTTGGGGAAGGGGCAAGTTTATTCCTCGGGCCGAAGGGCCTGCTGAGAGTCACAGCCGTGCAGATTGGGGGGGCCACAACGAGAAAGGAGGCAAAATCCACCCTGCAGACTTCTGTCAGCACGAATTTGTTCACAGAAGAGGGAGGAAGGAACAATTTCTTCCTCCTAGCTCCATGTAGCCGTTTTTTTCACATTTATTTACTTTCTCCCTGGAACTCAAGGTGGATTACCCAGAATAACTCAATATAATCAACAGGATGGAACATCCAGTAATCGATGCATTCAGATTTGGCTTGTAGGGATACAAAACAAGCCAGAAATCTGAACTGAAGCAAAGCATAAGTATTAACATGATGCATTAAACAATAAAGGATTACATCGTAGGGTCCTACTTATAGCAACACTCAGTACAAGCTATACACAATAGTACAGATCGCTGTCCCTAATCCTTCATTCACTGTCTTGGAACAGACAGCGTTCTCCTTGCCATGAAACTGTCTGGCTGATCTCGTGACAGTCATCGTCGGCCTAGCCTACCTCACAGGCTTGTTGTGAAGGTAAAATGGCAGATGGCCGTAATATGTGTGGCTACCCGAGTAACACCTTAGCCAAAGATCAGAATAAAAAGGCAATACATAGAGACTGGGTCTCTCTGACTCAAACGTGCATCCTGCATTATTTCAATCACTGGTTGTCCTAAATAAAAGTGCTGTCTCCGTTCAGTGTGGATGACATGTTTTGATGGAATCCCCATACTGTTAGACAAGCGCTCTGAGCTTAATTATAAATGTGGGTGAAATATTTTATCCTTTTCCTGCCCACTTGTACTGCAGTTTCAGCGCAGCCTCGTACACCATAGCGGAAAACAGGACTGTGGGTTTCCTTTACAGGATGTGTCTTTTTGATAGCATTTGAATAGTATGTGTTTAGAAAACTGTGCAGTAAAACAGCAGTGGCAGAATCTCTGTGGGTTTCCTTTACAGGATGTGTCTTGATAGCATTTGAATAGTATGCGTTTAGAAAACTGTGCAGTAAAACAGCAGTGGCAGAATCTGAGGACTTGGAAGTACGACCTTTTCACAGACACGTGCCTCGTTCACATGTGCAGGGCCAGTGCTTGAATTAATTGGTTTAGTTCTCTTACACCTAGGGTTTTTAGTTTTGGTTTGGGAATTTTTTGGAGATCTGGAATGGAGCCTGGGCCGGGTAGACTTTGGGGAAGGGAGGGGAGCTTGGCAAGAATGTGATGCCCTAGAGCAGGGATGTCAAACATGCGGCCCAGGGGCCAGATCAGGCCCCCGGAGGGCTTCTATCAGGCCCGCAGTGGAACTGGCTGTCTTCTGCTTCTTCTTCCAGTTCTACGGCTGCCGCGTCATCGTAGGTTTGCAGCTTACAGATACACACCTGAACAGCATACGCAACAGCACAGACATTTTGATGTAATAATTCAGAGCAAGAGGTGTCAGTTATCAGACACTGTTAAATAAACAAAATATTGCTAGAGTGCTAATGTTTTAAGCATGTTTTTATTGTAAGCAAAAAAAAAAACCCTTTGTGTTTGTGTCCTTTATAAAGTTTATATCTCCACTACCTGGCATTACATTTTATGACACACATGGCCCAACCTGATAAGGTCTCATTTAGGTCAGATCTGGCCCTCATAACAAATGAGTTCGACACCCCTGCCCTAGAGTTCACTCTTCAAAGCTGCCATCTCCAGGGGAACTGATCTTCATAGCCTGGAGATCACTTGTAATTCTGAGAGAATTCCAGGCCTCACTTGGAGATTGGCAAGCCTGCCTATACCCCACTGTTCTCCATAGTGTGGATCCAAAGTGGCCTAACACCATCCCCCCCCCCTTTTTCTTCTAAGAGTAACACTGTGAGGCAGGTTATGCTGGAAGTGTGACCAAGTTCACTTGGCAAGCTTTCCTGGGAGGGTGGAGTCGAGATTTGAACCCGGTTCTTGCAGATCCTAGTAGTCTGACACTAGCTGCTACACCATGCTGGCACTTAAATGTGTGAACACATTGCAAACTGGGGCAATGGACAGCGGCGTGACCCTTTGTTGAGGGATTCTGGGGGCCAGGTTCTTTTCCTGGGTCACACACACACCCCAGTTCCCCAGAGTTCTTCGGTGGGT